TTATCGAAAACACCCTTTCCACGGCCACCAGCCAAGATTTGAGCCTTAACAACATATTCGGGACATTCTAAACAAAAAATTATAAAATTCATGTTTTATAACACTCCAACACGTTAGATCATCAAAAACACTACTTACCAAATTGCTTTAAGACTTCAACATCTTTGCTAGAGTTATCCAACACTTTGAATTTCTGAATGGCCACATTGTATTTTTGTAATAAATCTTTACTTTGGAATTCCAATAAATTAAGATGTCTCACTTGTTGCACAGTAAACTAATTAGAATGTATTTAATTAATTTATTAAACAATTTGCATATTTTAATTGAATTCAAGAAAAAAAAACTAACCTTTTTGTTAAGAGTCTGGCGTAATGTGTTGGCTGCGATGTTCATCATTTTGTTGTTCTTTTTAAAATGGAAGACGTCGGTTTAATCTTTAATTTGTGTGTTTTGTTGTACTTAACGATAATTTGTTTATTTTTGTGTAAATTGCAGTGATAATGTTTAATTTAAAAATTTAATATAAAATAGAACTTTGAACTCCTGGTAAAAGAAAAACACAGAAACCAGAGAGACTCAGTTTTGGTGTTGTTTTCTTATCAAAAAAGTGGAATTCCTTCGCGTAATAGAAAAAGCAGCCGGTTTTAAAGACAGAGATGTTTGATGCTTTCATAATATGGCAATATTTTACAGTATTGCACTGTAGTCTGGGTTTTGTTTGAAATATTTTAAATCTTTTCTTTTTGTAATGAATTTACAAAAAATTATTTATTTTTAAGAATTTTCTATAAATTTCATTATATAATTTTTTACAATTTTCAAACAAACAAAAATGTTATTTTTCAAAATTGTAACACAAATAGTAAAATTAAAAATATAACATAATTTTTTTATTGAAAAAAAAAAGAAAAAATAAGAACAAAACGTCAAAATATGTATTAAATGAGTAAAATATTATCTAAAAACTCGAAAATGTGCCTTAAATATGCTGCAAAAGTCAAATCATTCAAAATGCATTTGCATATTTCGTTTTACCTGGTCGTGACTTATTAAACCTATGTATGCTTTGTAAATGTAGGCTCTTCCGACACAAACGTTTACCAACCGCTGGTAAAATGTAATCGTATCGAAACAGAGACACATGTACATATGTACATACACCCCCCTCTGAGTACGAATACTCAGTTCATATAAAAACGGTTTGGTTGAGTCATTGTAACAGCTAAAACTATACAATAATCTAGTTAGGGGGGTTCTACATCAATTTCCAGCCCTAAAAACTGGGCTACTTCAACTGGATGCATCCATAACTCCATTGTAAAAAGTGAAGTAGCGTTGGCTGAACAGTTAAATATGTGGTGGGTATCATGAGGATCTTGACCACATACAGGACATTCGTTTGGGACGGCACGGTCTATACGTGACCATTATGTTTACATTAAGCCCTTTGCTCCATCCTGATCTTAGTTTTGCCAGAACTAGTCCTGTTTTCTACGGTAGGATTTCTTCTGTGTCTGCTATGGTTGGAGGGTGACCTCCAAGTACGACATTCATGCGGTATCCTGCGACCCTGAGAATGTCATCTTCGTATATACGACATGCCTCGGGAGCTTATCCAACTGTATGATGTTAAATACCAGGATGTCGTAAATGATGTTGCCATATACATTTTTTATTAATTTGATAAAAATTTTAAGTGGCAACAACTTCGTAACAAACTGGCATCATTTCAACATGCACTCTCTTTTGACATTTCTCAATAGCTCCTTCTTGTTGTTTTTGTTTTGCTAACGATAGCGAAAGTGATGAACAGCTGGGAGTTTTTTTCAATTAAAGAAAACTAGCAGCAGCACATAAATTATGTTTATTTTTAGTCATTGATAGATTTTAATTAATTAAACAATAAAAAAATCAATCCTACCAATAACAAAGTCCACCAGTATGAATGAAACCAATGAAACTATAATGGAAGCGAAATATATCTTCGACGAGGTACCTCAAGTATCAAAAATAATAACAGTGAGCTGTTGTCTGGCCATGTCGGTGCTCTATGTGTCCAGTTTGTATATATGGAATAATAAACACAATCGTGATCACCCGGCTACGGTTAAAAGACGTTTTCTTAGTGTTACGGTTGTTATGTTTATATCACCCATATTTGTTTATAAATTTTCCTCCAGTGAGTTGCTGGAGAAGGTGACATTTAATGATTTGTTGGGTATAAGATGGCCGGGCTTAATTATGGCCATAGTGGTGCCCTATCTATTGACAATGCTTTTATTTTTGGGTCCTTTGTGTGTGGAATTACAAAACGATACTCTAAAAGTATTTCTAGGTGAGTGAAATTGCATGGATAATGGCAAGTAATATAATGTACAGACATTTTCGCTTTTTTGTAGATATTGACTTTTGGAAAAGTAACTTTAAAAATATTTTGTGGATCCGTAATCATGTTATGGCTCCCTTAAGTGAGGAATTTGTTTTTCGTGCCTGTATGATGCCTTTAATACTACAAAGTTTTACTCCTGTGACAGCCGTGTTCATAACACCACTGTTTTTTGGTGTGGCTCATATACATCACATCGTTGAGAGACTGAGTATGGGCATGGAGTTTTCCACCGCTTTAATTATGTCCTGTGAGTTCACGTACTTAACCAAAATAAGTTCCAATAATTGACTTTTCCTCTTTTAGTATCCCAATTAACCTATACTACCTTGTTTGGTTTCTATTCTGCCTATTTATTTGCTCGTACTGGTCATTTTGTGGCTCCCTTTTTGGTACACGCCTTCTGTAATCACATGGGTCTTCCCGATTTACAAGATCTATGGCAGCAGCATTTATGGAAACGCATCTTATTGATCATTTGTTACTTTGTAGGTTTTATAGCCTGGATTATAGTATTGCCTTTGGCCACAGAACCTGAACTGTATAAGAACAATATCTTTTGGCCTTAAGCATTTATTTAAGACTTGCGACTATCTTGTATTGGAAAGATAATTTAAGAGTCTTCCTATTTTATAATTGTAAGCTAAAAACAAACGTAAACTACAGTCCACTGTCACTCTACACAAAAACCTTAATGTTAGTTTAATCATGTTTTAAAAAAGAAAAACAACCGTAATGTTTTTGTGTTTATATACTCATTTTCTTTTTATAAAAAATACGAAAAAATTGTTTTATAAATTAAAACACTTTATAAAACTTTATTCACCTTTCAAAGTTTGTTCTAATTCATTGTTGGCTTTAAGTTCTTTAATAATATCCAAACCACCAACAAGTTCACCTTTAACATAGACCTGAGGATATGTGGGCCAATCGGAATAGGTTTTTAAACCTTGACGTACTTCTTCATCACTTAAAATATCGAATGTTTCGTAAGGAAGTCTATGTATAAAAATAATAAATGTAAAATAATTAATTTTTGTTTTCAATAAATGATTGCTGACATTTATCTTACCCCAATTCATTAACTATGGCTATTAATTGTTTGGAGAAACCACATCTTGGGGCATCACGATCACCTTTCATGAATATCATTAAGGGAGCTTTGTTAATCAATGATTTCAAACGTTCCTCTAAGGGTTGTTCACTAGTAGCAGCAGCTCCCAACTTTTTACATTTAGCTGTTAGATTGGCAATATCGACACCGTCGACGCGATCGATAGCTGTACCTTTGGCGAAAATGATGACTGTTGGAACGGCATCAATCTGGAATTAAATACAAATGGGTATTTATATTAAAGGAGTAATTTATGTCGTATCTAGTGCTAAAGCTAAGCTGATGTCTGAAGTATCTTGAGGATTTCCGAGATAGTAAGGACGAAGGACGATTGTGGCAACGATTATGAACACTTTTTTCACCAGCTCTCAATTGTGCAAGGATCAATCCTGAACTTAGGGAAGCAATTTTTACAGAGGATAATAAAGTGGATCAGTATAAATCCTGTTGATTTTCCAGATATCTGGAGTCATAAATTGGTAAATTGAAAGTATCAATAGTCACACTTATTACAGGAAGTACTTTTAGAAGTAATAGGTATGAAAAGTCCATAGAATTCGAGGGTTTTAATTTGATGACTATGTTATACAATTCACGATTAATGAAGTTATGTTCCTGAGAAACAGATGATGATAACCAAAATGGTAAAAATGTAACTATTTCAAAAATTAGAAATACAATTGTAAAATGTATTTCACTTTTGGCCTTAAAGATACCCATTTTGGCCATAATTGTTTTTGTCAAAACCACTTCAATAGGATTACTTAACACTAATTATAATATACCACACCAACCTGATGTTTCATGGCGATTTCTGGAAAATCTTCAGCCGTAATCTTAACAAAAGCCAATTTATCAGCTAATAATTTTGTTAAATCTTCCAGAACATCTTGAACCTGTTTGCATTGTTCAGCCCAGTCGGCAGAAAATAAGACCACGGAGGTTTTATCGGCACTAGATAAAAACAAAACAATTAACTCATGACAATATTACAAACTAATTTATTTTATTAAACCTGATAATTTGTTTATATTCTTCTTCCGATTTAATAGCTACCACAGGCATTTTATAGAATTATTTTTTTTTTAATAAAAAGCCAATTATTTGTTATAAAAAACTAAAATTAATTTTGCAATTCTTGCTGCAAGTAATATTTTTTCGCACTTCAGCTAAATGTCAAACTCGTTTAGAGGTTATACTTTTTGAGAGACCTGTGCCGACCAAGTGAAAATGTTTTGTGTCAAGCTGCTGAGAATTTTAAAAGTTGACGACGTCATGAAATTTTTTAACTAATGATAACCTGCAAATAAACATTAGTTTTTAATCGTATTTTGTTAATTTTTGTAGAATAATAATTTTACAATTGTTTCTTTTTCATAATTCAAGCTTTTAGCCGTTGATATTTTTGATTAGCCGACGGCGTTAAGAAATTCCGTTGGCTTATGCTTCTATTAGCATTGTGAATTGTTTTTGACATATAGAGGGCGCTTGTGTTTCAGTAAGAAAAAATATTTCCACATGAAAGTCAGATTTTTTTTCTTCATCTTTAAGAAATTGTTTTTTTATCGCTTAAAAAATGAAGTTTTATTAAGAAATTAGTGTTATTTTTAAGAAATTTTTATATATTATAAAATAGCCATGTCTCAGCCTTCTATTTTAATAATAGAACCATTCTACGGTGGCAGCCATAAACAATTAATTGATACTTTAATAGAATGTAAGTAGTTGTGAGAATTTTCATCCATCATTGCATTAACTTGCAACGTGCAACAAATTAACTCCCTGTTTTTTTTCTTTTTGTTTTATGTGGCCCCTGTTAGGTTTAAATGTAAGTGACTATGAAATTTTTAGTTTGCCCGCCAAGAAATGGCATTGGCGTGCCCGAACGGGAGCTTTGTATTTCTCGCAAATGATACCACAAAATCATCAGTACAAAGTTTTGTTTACCTCATCGGTATTGAATTTGGCCGAACTTTTAGGTTGCCGGCCGGATTTGAATGTGTGCAAGAAAATTGTGTATTTCCATGAAAATCAATTGGTCTACCCTGTTAGAGAGGTAAAGGAAAGAGATTGCCAATATGGTCTAAATCAAATACTCACTTGGTAAGTTTCAATTCAATTCCCTTTTCAACTTAACACTAATATAATAGTTTTCTTCTAGTCTGGCTGCTGACCATGTCATTTTCAACTCCAACTTCAATCGTACTTCCTTTTTGGATAATATCACTCCCTTCCTTAATATACAGCCCGACTTGAAACTCAAGCATTTACGCGAAAAACTCGAAACTAAATGCGAAGTTTTATATTTTCCCATCAAATTTCATGCATTCCCCAATAAGCGCCTTATGTTGGATGGCGATATACAAATGACCTCGCTAACCACTGGCAATGCCAATGATTGTTTACATTTGATATGGCCTCATCGTTGGGAACACGATAAAAATCCCAAACTTTTAGTGGAAGTTTTGCTAGAGTTGAATAAACGTCAAGTGGATTTTAAGGTGACGATTTGTGGTGAAACCTATCAAACTTCACCGGAGGCTTTTGAGGGTCTGCAGGATAAGTTGGGTTCGAAATTGGTGAATTTTGGTTTTTTGTCACGTGAGAAATATGTTAAAGCACTGCTGGACGGTGATGTGGTTATATCGACAGCCGGGCATGAATTCTATGGTGTGGCCATGTAAGTTTTGAAGCCTTTTTTTCTATTTTTTAAAACAATGTGTCAAAGGAACTTTGCTAATTTGTTAAGATAAAGCAAACTTTTCTTTAAATGAAGAAATATTAGCGAAAATGAAAGGATTTCTGTGAAAATTAAAAAATTTTGTCAAAATATTTTTTGGCAAAAAATTTTACCAAAACTTTTCTAGTTAGATTTTTTAAATTAAATTAAATTTCTTTTTCATTGTAGGCTCGAAGCAACATATTGTGGTTGCATGCCCATTGCACCCAATAAACTTGTCTATCCCGAATTGTATCCCAAAGAAAATCTATATAATACTTCCAATCAATTGATAAAAATGTTATACAATTGGTGTCGTAATCCGTTAATGTTTCGTAAACAACGTGAGAAATTTTTTGAATATTTTACATTCGATCGTTATTCAGCACAGCATTTAGTACCAAAATATTTGGAAAAATTAAGAATTTAAAATACACAACTAAAGGAAAAAGAGACCAGCCCAAATTTAACAAAATGCCATAGTGCAATAATTCGAATTTAGAACGTAAGTCTGAAATTTGAATTACTTTAAAAAAGAAAAGTAGACATACAATTTCTTAACAAATATATTTTGATATAAAAAAGTTATAATGAAAAGTTAACGACAAAACTTTTCATTAAACTTAGAGAAAAACTAAAAAAAAAACTTGACCAATTTTAAATAACTGAAAACTTGGCAATATAAAAGAACGCATAAAGAAATTTGTTAATAAAAGTTTAAGTTTAAATTTAAGTAGCGCTTAAAATCAAAACTAATTTTAAATTGCCTGTTGGTTAAATTTATTAACCTTTTTTTATAAGTTTTATAAAATTTGCGCGAAATTGTTTGTTTTGACTGTTTTTTAAAACTTTTTTACTGATAACATTTTTTATTATTAAACTAGTGTAGTAGTTATTTGTTTCTTTTATTTTTAGCTTATTTTAACCCTTTTTTAATTTTTTATTATTTAGATAATATTAAAGATTACTGTTAAGCATAAAAAACAAAATAGTTGATAAAAAATATTACAAAACCAACATAGAAAACTGGAACTGGTTTCAGAAATGATCTTCTTTAAATTTGGGTGGTGCACTGTAAGGCTCTTTAACATGAGCCCGATATTCCTCATCATCATCATGACATTCACGATAACATTGAGCACAAAATAATTCACCATCACATCCTTTACAACGAAAGACTGCATCTTCATTGCATATATTACACCAAGGTAATTCTTCGGTATCAACACCTGTTGGTGGTGGCGGTATACCAGCTGCTAATTCAGTTTCTAAGCTGTTGGAAGCATCAGGTAAGCGAGCTTCAGCTAAATACTAGGAAATTTAATTTTTGTTATCAATAAATATTGCAAGACAATTAATACTAGTAACTAATTAATTTTTGTAATCAATAAATTAAATTTTGTTGCCATAAGAAATATACATGTTAAATCATTAATCTGGACTGTAGATCTGAACTATGTGACCATAGTTAACACTACAACCTGTACCATATTTAAGACTATAGTCTGAATAATAGTTGAGACCAGACTGTAATCTAAATGGTTACCTGTACACTTTGGATTAAAAATAAGACTTATAAGTCGGGATTATAAGTTATAGTCTGGACTGTTGGCTATATTTTAGATCATAAACTTTAGTCTGTATCCAAAATATAATCTATAAACCATAGATTATAGTCTTGTCCGTAGATTATATTCTGGAATATTCACTATAGTTTGGGCTGTAGAGTATAGTTAGAACTATACACTATAATCTGCACTATAGGCTAAAGAATATAGCCTGACTAGTCTGTAGTCTGACTATAGTTAAGACTATATTCTTGGCTATGGCCTTGATTTAATACTATAAAGTTAACAATATTTCTGAAATTTAATTTTATTTAAACTCGAGCAACTTCTTTGCTGTTTTCTTGAGTTAACTTTATTATACTTACCTTTTCCATAATTCCCTTAAGCATCGTCTCATCATCCATTTCATTATCGCTAGGAGTATTAGTATCCGGTGAAGTCGCAGCACCAATAGCACTACTACCACTCGCTGCTGGTGTCACAGGATCATCTCTCAATGCCTTCAATCTCCTCTCAATATCCGATAAAGTATCCTTTCTGTCCGTTTCCAAACGATTATCAATCTCAGCCTCTCCCATAAATTGAGCCAACAAATCATTCATTTTCTCCTGATCCGTACGTTGATCTGTATTCAAAAGTAAATCCTTTTTCGAATAATCCTTTTGAGGCATACCATTTAATTTCGATAAACGTGAACGTATCTCATCATCACTGGGAAATGATGAGGGATCACTAGCTTTTAGATTCTTTAAACGTTGTAATATTGCACTATCAAGATTGGCTGTAATATCAGAATTTTCACCACTGGAATGTGTTGAAGTTGTCATTTTAGCCGGAGAAATGGGTTCCAAAACCTCACCCACTAGGGCTGCTGAAGGCTCCACCTCCAGCAAAGCATTTATATCTTTTTGCACTATTTGCTCATTGACCATGCCCTTATTAGCTTTGGTAACTATAGTGCCTGGCAGTGTCTCGACATCGATAACCTTTTCAACTTCTTGTAATTTGGACAATTTATCGTAACATATCAGGCATACATTCATTACCTTGTTGTTATGTCTGGGCACTGCCACTGGACGTTTAAGGCATTTGGCACAATAGGAATAGCCGCAGTTGGGACAGCCATACTAAAAATTCAAAACAATTGATTAGTTAATTTATCTTTCTTTTAAATGAGTCATTTTTTTTGTTTTATCTTTTACCTCTTTGCAAAATAAACCATATTTTCTGCTGCAGCCAAAGCAGGACATTGTTATTTTCTCAAAAATTATTTGTTCATTTAATAAATGTTTAGTATTTGTTTATGATTTTATAAGATTTTATCTATAGTTGTTGTTTTTTATTGCGGTATAGAATATTCTTTGGCTAAGAACAAAGACAAAAGATTTTCGTTTGTTGGGTCAGCTGATGGTATCAGCTGGTGGTGGTTTAGTCATTGTAGGGTTGTAGTTGGTAGGGTTTCGATATACATAATACTTAGAGGTTTAAGACCGTTATTTTAAATTTGAAAAAGAAGTATTATTTAAAAGTTACATGCTCTAGTATTTAGAAGGATTCTATAAATCTTCTATTTGTCGAAAAAGATCAGTAATTAGTTAGAGTTTTATATTCGGCTGATCCGAATTTTGTTCGTTAACAGACTGATATATGGTTTGGTTAGGTTGGTGTCAAGTGTATATAATACGGGAAGGATGTAGGAGTATGCGGGCCTCAGTCATCCGTATATCTAGAGTAATTATGTCAGATGTTTATCTTTGTCGGATGAATGAGAAGTTTGCTGGTTTGGATGAAAAGTGATACCATCGAATTTTCCTTCCCTGTCGGGATATATTCAGGGTTTACTCTCTTCCTACCATATTGTCTTCTCTGTGAGTAAGAACAAATCCTCGACTTATTTGATGGATTCGTATTTCGGTTTACCGATTACGAATCCATACCATCTGCTTGGTTATAAATGGAAGTGATGTTTTTGCAACTAGGAACTTAATCAATGATCAGAGATAAGTTAGCTCAAGTTCTTCCTAGTTCGGATATGTTCAAGATTTACTCTCTTCATACCATATTGTCTACTCTGTCAGTAAGAACAAGTCCTCGACTTATTTGATGGTTCGTATTTCGGTCTACCGATTGCGAAACCATATCATCAGCTTGGTTATAAACGGAAGTGATATTTTTGCATATCGGAAGTTAAACAACGTGCAGCAACGGTCAGAGATAAGTTAGCTTAAGGACTTGAGCAAATTGATTGTATATGGACCGGCAGAACCATGTACAAAAATTTCCCCGACTTGTAAGAAGGGGCGGGAGGTGGTGAGTCGTGTAATAAGTTTACCGTGTGGTTGTAAAGTACCAGCGTGAAATAAGGCCAACACGGCAGGTGTAAAGCACTTCGATTTATACACACGCACAGACAGACAACCGGACATGACTAAATAGTATCCGCCCTCTATAAAGAGTCTTATTTTCTTAATATTTCACAAAGTATACCCACGACCTACACTTAAAAAAAAAAAAAAAAAAAAGACCGATTATATATAAACCATTAATATCTTAATCGTTATTTATTGCTTATTAATCTCCTTTTCCATACAAAATTCCTACAATAAATCTTCAATAACTTTATTAAGCTTTCATGAATAAGGGAATCTTTTAAAAATGTCAATAAACAGTTCGGACCAGACTTTAGAACTTTCTTAAAAAGATCTATTGATAACACAGGCAAAAAAATTTTGAAAAAAACACAGTTTTAGACCTTATTTGAAACGCTATTTACAAAATTTGTTATGTCCTTTGAAAGTCCAATCTTTCGACTATATAATAAAGATTTAAGCTCTGTTATATTATTTTTCTTTCGAGAAGAAGCTTTATTTTGGACAGATTTTACTTTCAGGTGACATAATACATGTTATAAATAAAAGTATCTTTGCGCTGTTGGCCAAAAACAACATTTGACCAAAAACATCGAACATCCATTAAAGAAATAAATCTAGAACAGTTCTATAAAAAGAATGTGACTTTGACATAACTAGAACGAGTAAATGCTAAAGGTTTTTCTATGTACAGACAAGTTTAATATGCATTTCCCTAACAACTTTTACTTTAATTTTAATAATACAATAAAATAAAGATGTTGCTGCTTTTTTAGTGGTCTTTCACACAAACAATTTACATTGACATTGAATGCATTTCAATTATTAAAACTAAAACTTTACCTTTCATTTCTGTATTTCCTTGATAAAATGTTTATAAACGTTCGTATATTTTGCCTTTGTATAGCAATCTGTTTTTTATTACGGCTACAGTTTCGTTTCTAAAATTGGCTAGAAAAAAAAAAGAAAAAATAATTTCAAACATGTACTTCATGTCTCAGGCTAAATTTAACTAAAATTTATAGAATACATATCGTCAGATAAAACGCAAACGGCCCTAAGTAACATTTTTAAAATTTTACAGGAGAAGCAAAAAACTATTTAAATTGAAAAGTTTGTTTCTATCAACGCGATTTATTTGTAGTAAATAAACAAATTGTTTAATAGTGAAACCTATCATTTGTCATGATAGTTGACAATGTCGTATATAAAAATGGATAAATTAATTTAATATTTAAATGTTTTTGTAGATAGGGCCTTTTGTTTTTTGTCGATAAAATCGATAATTTTTTCGGAGGACTCCAATTTTTGGTGTGGACATTTGTTTTGATGCAATATATTAGAATCAACAATAAAATCGATTTTGAATTTTTGGTTAGTTAGGGCCGTTTGCGTTTCAGGTAACGATATATTCTTTTTTTTATCATTTGGCATGTTTATCCTCTATTTAAAATGGAAAACTTTTATTGTTGGCTTTATATTGTGTTGCTGTCTGTATGCAATAATCAAATGTTTAATATGAAAAACGAGAAAAATAAAAACAATTTAAATTTAGTTTTTGGCACCTTGAAGAAATTGAAGGAATATGTTTTAAGGTTATTTAAGGTTTTTACTTTTAGCGGGGTCGTCTAGAACTTTTGAGGATTTGTTTGTTTTTTTGTAGATCGCTTTTATTAGTAACGTAATTTTTTGTTATATATTATTAATAACTATGTACCTGTATTCATATGCAATTCCATTAATCGATTCCTTTTTATTTTTCAGACGCAGATGCTTCCAATATCAAGTAAGTCCATTTAAAATCAATATTAACAAATTAATTAATACTTTTTTAAGAAATAATTCTATCCCCTAACTTTATTTAAAACCCATTACTAGGACCCAAATTTGCTGAAACCTCAAACTTGGTTTCCTCTTTCTAGTCACGTAATTGTTTATTTTATGATAAATTTCAGTAAATTTAAAAATACAATCTAAAAGTTTTTTCCTTTTTGTGTATAATTTATAATCCCTATAATACCATATAAGTACTATTTTTTTATAGAATTTACCATTTTTTTGGTTTCAAGCCAAAAAAAAACTTACAAATTGAATTTAAAACAATTTATGTTTGTTTTGTGCTAAAATTAACATGTAAATTGTTACTATGTGCAACATTATCCTTTTTATACCCTACATCACTATAGTGGGGGAGGGTATTATGCGTTTGAACTGATGTTTGTAACACCCAAAAATATTGGTCCTACATCCACCTTAAAGTATACCAATCGGCTCAGAATCACTTTGTAAGTCGATTAAGCTATGTTCGTCTGTCAGTCAGTCTGTCCGTCTGTCTGTGTGTTCACGTAAACCTTGTGCGCTCGCTGCAGGTCGCAATTATCAAGATAATTTGATAAAATTTGGAATATACTTTTCTAAAACTTAGTTTTATTTTCGTAATGATCGGGATTCTTTTGACCCTAGCCTCCGTACAAAGTCCCCCTCAGAAAATGACTTGAAAGTCAAAATTTACTTATAAACGCTAATATCACGTAAAGACGTAAATCCCTCTACCAAAATGTATAAGAATAGACCCGTATTAACTCCCTGCATCCATATAACCCCACTTTTAGAAAATCTCTTTTTTGTTAACAAAATTAATTAAGGTAAAATGGAATCAAATTCTTTAAAATAATCAGTGGTGTAGGAAATCATATGGTTGGTCATGGCCTACTATAAATTCATACTTGTTTTATAATTGTGTTACTTTTTTCCATTTAATTTCTTTTGCTAAAAGTTTGAACAAATTTATTAAAATATTTAAAAATTTTTGTTTTGAAAAAGAATAATTATCGGAAAATATTGGGTAAAAACTTAAGGCAATTATCAAAAAAGAGGTCAGTACATTCAATTAAAAACATCAATTATAATTGTTGGATAGAAATTAGGAAGTCAGATATGTAAAATAATTGTTTGATTATAATATTTTATATTAATATTGTAATATTGAGTAATCTTTAACCTAGAGACCAAACGATTGAGCAGCGCAGAATCCGAATCTGGACTTTTAATATTTATTTTACTATAGACTAGACTAGTGGCCTCCGGTAGGTTAGTGGTTAGTGTTCTAGTCTGGTAGACCGGAGGTGGTGGGTTCGATTCCCACCTGAGGCACTGGTTAAGGAGCGCACAACAGGCCCGATAGAGGCCTAGGTGTATTTCTTCGGATTTGATGTATATACATCCTCCTTTCAAACTAACTAACTAACTAACATAGACTAGACTATAGACTAGACTATAGACTAGACTATAGACTAGACTATAGACTAGACTATAGACTAGACTATAGACTAGACTATAGACTAGACTATAGACTAGACTATAGACTAGACTATAGACTAGACTATAGACTAGACTATAGACTAGACTATAGACTAGACTATAGACTAGACTATAGACTAGACTATAGACTAGACTATAGACTAGACTATAGACTAGACTATAGACTAGACTATAGACTAGACTACAGACTAGACTATAGACTAGACTATAGACTAGACTAGACTAGACTATAGACTAGACTATAGACTAGACTATAGACTAGACTATAGACTAGACTATAGACTAGACTATAGACTAGACTATAGACTAGACTATAGACTAGACTATAGACTAGACTATAGACTAGACTATAGACTAGACTATAGACTAGACTATAGACTAGACTATAGACTAGACTATAGACTAGACTATAGACTAGACTATAGACTAGACTATAGACTAGACTATAGACTAGACTATAGACTAGACTATAGACTAGACTATAGACTAGACTATAGACTAGACTATAGACTAGACTATAGACTAGACTATAGACTAGACTATAGACTAGACTATAGACTAGACTATAGACTAGACTATAGACTAGACTATAGACTAGACTATAGACTAGACTATAGACTAGACTATAGACTAGACTATAGACTAGACTATAGACTAGACTATAGACTAGACTATAGACTAGACTAT